CATCCCTTTCAATCCATCCGGGATGCACAATGTTGCGGGATCGTTGTCGAATATGGCGAAGCATCGTCGGCGGTGTAGAGTGTCTGCCATGGCGTGAGCTTTCTGACGGTCCGTGTAGTCCGGCACCGACAGAGCCACCGGTGCGGCTGAGAATAATATTCCATACGATGGGAGTGACCAAGAGAGTTAGGCTTGTTACCGCCAGCAGGAGGTAATAGACTTCACGAGTGATAATACCGAGTTGTTTGGCGCGAGAGGCGAGCACAAAGGCGAATTCAGAGATTTGAGCCATACCGATGGCCATGATGGATGATTTGGCAATGTCGAATTGAAAGAGGACGAGTATGATGCAGGTAATGACGTATTTAAAGCCGACGACGGCCGCGGTGAGGGTCAAGAGGAGAATAGACTCGGACATCAAAAAAGAAGGGTAGACATGCAAGCCAATGGAGGCAAAGAAGAGGCAGGCGAAAAGATCTCTGACGGGTTCAATGACGAGTATGGATGCCTCAAACATGGTTTTGCGAGAGCGTACAAGTAGCCCACCAACAAAGCAGCCCAATTCCATACCGAGGCCGAGGTTTTCAGAAATGACGAGCATGAGAAGGCAGGTGGCGATCGTACCGAGTAGCAAAAGCTCATGACTTTGCTCAACAGTTTTGGGGAGGATTCTGCGCAAGATCCATGGCACGCCGTAATGGAGAGCTCTACTCAATGCAAAAGAGATGGCTCCAAATAGGACCAGCGACAGGAGTGTTCGGCACACGGCAAAGAAGATTTCGAAGCCCGATTTGGTCAAGGTCGGCATGACGGCCTACGCAAACAATGCTCTTAGCCGCATACGCTGGGAGTTTTCGTGTACCTACCAGCATCAAGCCCAGGAGGACATCCTGCATAATGAGTAGGCCATACATGTGTTCAAGTTCTTCGAGTTTGACACACTTGACCACGACCGCCGTGCTCGACAAGGAAACACAAGCGCCAATAAAGATGGCTTCATTCATGGATGCTCCGAGGAGCAGACCACCAGCCACAAATAGCAGGACCGACGCCAAAAGAATCAGGATGGCCCCACCAAAGGCTACCCTCCACATGGACCGTAGCTTGTCAATGGAGAACTCGATGCCCAAGACAAAGACGATAAACACGACACCGAGCTGCGCCAATGTTTCGGTTTGAATCAGTTCCTGCGACCGCGTCAATCACACACATTCATGTCCACAGTGTGCGCTTGTCCTACCTGAATGAGATTGTAGCCGGATGGGCCAAGTGCAACACCAGCCAGGATATACCCAAAGAAGGCTAAAATTGAAAGTCAGAGGATCGAATTTCCATATGTACGATATCACCTACCGGGTAATCCAAGCGCATTCAATACCCAACCGAGGCCAAAGGAGACAATGACAATTAAAATAAGGTCGTGAATAAAGCGAACGTCTATGGTGTGATCCATGAGCGGCCAATTTCCATGTCATTGCTTCCGCTGCTTACCTTCATAAAACACTGTGGTATCGAACGGACGGGTCAAGATATACTGATTGTTGTCCTGATCAATCAGCGTCACCAGTTCCCCTTCATTGGCAGCTTCCTTGCCACGAACATTCTTGTCCAGGGCCGCATTTCCACCGTGTTGGGCTCCATCCCCTCCTTCTCCACCCACTTTGACCACGGTTTCCAGAATGGCACCTTCGTGAGCTTGACCCTCAGAAAAGGGATTTTTCTTGTGCATGCCCTGTTCCAACTTGTCGGCCTGATGCCGTACTTCGGACAAGACATTGTCAATCAGGGCTTCAATGGCCTTATCATTTCCTGCCACAGGATGTGATTGGAGTGGATCCAAAGAAGACGTCTTGGCACCCTCCTCTCCGTCTTCGTCGGCCATTGGCTCCTCTATGGTATCATCCAGATCTGCATCGTCCATCCTATCCAACATGTGCGCTCGTCGCTTCACCGAGAGTTGGAAGTTGGCTAACAACCGGATCGATTCGCTCTTGTAGTCGACGTCGTGACGCAACGAGTGTTCCTTTGCATCGTTGGACCAACCTTCTGGATCCGACGTCATATGGTGTTCAACCACATTATTATACAATTGGAGCACACCTGTCGCTAGACCTTCGAGATCCTTGAAGTCTTCTAGTCGCGCCTTGAGAATGAGCGCCTCTTTGGCTCTAGCTCTAGGAGATTTGCTCTCGTCTCTCTCAGCTGATTGTCGTAGATGGGAAAGGAGGGATTTGTACGCATTGCCTCGCTGAAAGGTGGAAAAGACTTGATCAGAAGACGCGAATTGGCGGTTGTGGACGAGAGGATAGGAGGCGCGCTGAGTAGGAGGGAAGAGTTTGAGGGGTTAGCTTGACATATCAAAGCCATGGAGCACGGTGCCTGAACTCACGAGTTCAATGGTATCATTCTGGTTGGCGGGAGATGGCTGCTGAACGTCATCCTTGACCTCTTGAGCATTTGTTAAAGCACAGAGCACTAGCCATGGCCACGTGCAATGAAACAAGCAAGAGAATCTCATGAGATGGGCAGCATAGAGTAAATGACCACGAGAGCACAAGAGATGTGCAATTTGTTCTATTTGAGCGCCATCAAGGCCTCCGCGCAACTTTTGATGGCCGCAAAATAATGGCACAAGACAGCAACATCTGTAGTAGCATCCATGTCTCGCTTGAGCTGAGAGAGCTTTGTGAGCAAGCTATGTCGAGTAGCCTCGATAATGTCGGCATCTGTATCCTTGTATCCTATAATCTTGGAGTATGGTATATCTGGATCTGTGGACACGTGGATGATGAGTTGAGAGGGATCTGGCAACTGCATGCATGGAATGAGCGTGTACCAACCTTGGTTAAGCGTAGGTCGTACCTTTTCCTTATCGGTTGTTTCGTCCACCTTGATCTTCTTGGTTTGGGGAATGTGCGTCGAGGAGAGCTTGGCGGCGGTTTCATAGAGTCCCATGCGGTCATTGGTAGGGTCCTTTGAGACTGTTGTGGCTTGGGTCACTTGCGTGGAGGGGGTGGGTGTAGGTGCATTGCTTGTTTCGAGCTCTGAACCGGGGTCTGTAGGGTTAAATGTCTTTCCGCAAATGACGCATTGGATTTCCTTGTTTCTGTTTTGCACTAAGGGAATCTGTGGGTGGAAAGAGGGCGTATGAGCACGTTATGGATCCAAGGCATCGTGTGATACTTGCCCCGTAGCATGTCGGTGTAGGACATATGTCATTGAGCATGGTCCATCCCACCATCATGCGCTCGCCAATAAGACGAGATCCTCGGGACGATTGCTCGCGTTTAAGGCTGGCCAGTTCTCTTTCTGACAGTTCTCGATTGTCCGACGTTGTTTTGCCGGTAGGAACCGGGACATAGGCATTGATGCGCGCTTGTATCCGTTCTGCTTCCTCGTCCGAGTCCGTCTCGGTGGTCGACGCCTCGTTGTCAGCAGCAGAAACCTCTGCGCGCGGGTGATGGTTGGGCGTTTCCAGTGCAGGTGTCGATGGGTTCGCGCTCGTGTTGCTCTGCGCGGCCTGTTTATCGTGAACAACACATAAGCGTATTGACCGATCTTTGGAACGCAACATGGGCACATTGCAACCAGGCACTGGACAATTCTCGTCGGTCAGGACCTAGGTTAAGCAATAAGTCGTCCGTCAACACATATGAGTCTCTTGCTTACCCATCCCTGTAGCAAATACTTGCCAATGAGTGCAATGGCCTCATCGTCGGTCATGGCTGGGTGATCCAATAAGGAAAGTGTTCCAAGATTGCGCAGACTTTTGGCTTGCGTTGTGCTTGTGCTCATCCTACAGCAATTGTCTTCAATCATGAGATCCAATTAGGCGATAGTCATGTTACAAAGTGCACTCTATGGACAAGGAATCATTTAACCAAGCCTGAAGGGAAAGACTGACTTCTCAATCCTGATGATCTCTCCCCCGTAGTTATAGACAAAGGCCACAGTGTTGCATCTGGACTGGTCGGCAACGTCGTATACAGTGATTCAGTTTCAACCATAATATGCACCATCTTCGCACCAGTTTGCATAGTCTTCATAATCCGAATTGGCCGAGATTACCAACGGGATCCCAGAATTCGCGAGCAATCATGCGTAAGTGTCGAAAGTAGTCTACAAACTTTAACAGGTCCTCGTCCCTTCCTTTTTGGCAAAGATGAACGTTTCGCCTTGCAGCGTCCTCGCGTCGGCAATGACAAGATTCAATGGAGACGAAACGAGGCTTCATCGGGGGTAAAGTTGGCATATTGAGGACCCTCGAGAATGATGAGATGCGGGGACGCGGGGACGCTGGGAATTCGCCGTCGTCTATGAGAAGTCGAAGCTCTGTCCACCGGATGTCGTCGCTATAGTCGGTGCGCACGCAAACGGCGTTATCACCATCGTGTTTAGAGTTGGTCCATGCGAGTATTTTCACGTTCTTGTTTTGCGAGTTGTCGGCCATGTGAAGCAACGTAGGGAAGCGAGCTCGCGATGTTTGATATCATGTTCCTTTGATCGTCTTGCCGCAGTACTTGTCCCACGTGTCACGAACGTGTGATCATGTGGCTTTGATGTGCTGGGCATGAGTAGTAATACGTCAAGTCAACCCTTTAGTCAAAGACAACACCTTGAGGTTTCTCAACCAAACGGTCTTGATGCGTTCATATGGCAGAGCTCCTCACGGACGCTTTAGGGTGGTATGGACGGTTCGGACCTCTTGCGGCCGCTCAGACACACTTGGAGACGGTTACGGCGGCTTACCGTCGCTTACAGGCGATTTCTCTTGGTTACGGTCGCTCAAGGTCTGTTATGGACACTTAGGGATGGTTACAGTGGCTAAGATTATCGTTATGGATTGCTTATGAGAACGCCTGACAGCCGGTGACGGACACTTCTGGACTGCGGGTCACCGTCCCTCCACGGCTGTCATGGACAGTCAGACCCCTGGTGGCTACTTATGTTCCGTGCTGAGAAGTTTTGGTGTCGAGCCCGGTAAAAAATAAAAATTAAATTGCCCACAGGCAGGATCGAACTACCGACCTTCAGTTTACAAGACTGACGCACTACCACTGTGCTATGAGGGCGTTTGATTATCCGATAATATGGCTAGCAAAATACATTCTAAAAATAGTTTGCAGCCCTAACCCTGAAGTTCTACAGTCACCTTCCAAATAAATGAGCAATTTTCGTGGCTGCAGAAAGCGGGTTTAAGTTGTCACAATACCAGCAAATGCCCCAAGTTTACTTCAACCGCTCAAAAGCTGTAGGTGGTATGCAGTAATCTCCAGTAGCATTGGAATATGAGCCCTTTACCGTGGAGTTCATATCTTCTGATTAAAGAGGCAGAATCGAAAAACAGATATGCAAATCCGTTTCACATTCTTGGCTGACCATCTACGTGCAACACTTTATTGGCATTGGATGGCGTCTTGCCGTTTGCTCTTGAAGCGACATGTTGATACCTAGATACATTAGTTGGATCGGTAGCGATCGTGAGCCCATAATGATATAAACATGTAATCAATCGGGTCAGGATGATAGCATCAGCAACAAGAGATAGCATAAGAGAAATAGCGAAAAAAGGAGAGAATCATCCCTAGTGTTGCTCTTGCAAATAGCTTGCTTGACTCGTATGAGGTAAGCGTATCCAATTTTTGTGCATGCTATGTATATGCCACGTATGCGACCTTCTATCGCGTGGCACTATTATATCTGAGTATCTTTGATATGGAACTGCTATATTTCTGAGCCTTTGCTACACTTTCTGGACGATTGGCTATAACTGAGCACATTTTCATCTTTAATTGTTGCGAATTTACGCGACCTGATTAGTCAATGTCGTGAATGTTGACACCTTGCGTGTGGTCGAGAAAGCAAAACCTCTTTATCGTGACGCGCGGAACAACGTCTATCGAGCGGCACCATTCTTTTCCTTGAGTCGACGTTGGTGTATGTTTGGCTTACCGGTCAAAGCAATCAAAGCAAAGTGGATAATTTTTGTATTGAATGAAGGCCACACTCATCAATGGAATCGGGAATGATCAATAGCAAAGCATGCGGAGGGAAATGGTGGCGGCCCATTTCCCAACAACTTTTATTTGATCCTTTGAAAAAGCTTTTCGTGATAAAGATGGGAGGAAATTAGTAGCACTATTTGTATTTATTTCTCATCCTTTAACGAGAATCGGTACTCACGATCTCGCATCCGCTTGGACTCTATGGCTTAGCCACTGAAAGCCAAGTCCGGCTGGAACCGGTTCCGGCTTGGGTCTGCGAGGGTTCAACGTATGGTTCACGATGAACCTGTGGAGTGCTGTGAAGTCACCAGCGTCTAGTCGGGGTCTTCAAGATCTCAAGAGATTGCATCAAGAGCATGTGGGAAGACCCCATCCAATTTAGATAAATTGTCGCACCTGCAGGATTTGCCAAGAAGAGAAAGTGATTTGCAATCCGTGTTTTGTCAAATTTGGCTCTGGAATCTGAACGGGTATGAACTCCACGGTAAGGGCTGATAATTTCAATGCTACTAGAGATTACCGCAGAGCATCTACAATGTTTGAGCAATTGCGGTAAACTTGGGACACTTGCTGGTATTGTGACAACTTAAACCTGCTTTCTGCAATCACGAAAAATACTCGTCCTTTGGAAAGCGGATGTACGAACCTCAGGGTTAGAGCTGTAAACTGCCTTTAGAACTAGGTTCTCTAGCCCAATTTCCAGGTAATGCATAGCCCTCATAACACAGTGATAGTGCATCATTGGCGTTCGCAACCATGCGCTTCCTATGAAGTGATCAAAGTATATTATATCTAATTTAGTGTATTGTAAGCAAATGATCTGATAGCCTGAAATTGGATGTAATGGTTGCGACGATTCCGAGATGGGAATTGAAGATATACAAGTCGACCTAGGGTGAAGCTTGCGTTTCTTTGTTATGCGGCGCCTATTTCATGAGTGGCAACTTACACTATATGAGCGCAAAGTAGAGCAATACTTTTACTTGCCGACTGTACCTCTTTGGGTTGTGTGATTGCTCTATTGAATCAAAGCGTGGGGCGTCAAAAGGTGATGTCCGCGTGCCAAATCCGTGGAATGTAGGACACAATTGAAGACTATTCACATGTCTTCATGGCGATCAAAAAAGGACAAGGATACACTTTTGCAGTGGACGGAGGACGACTTCGATGGTGCTTGGACCATGTGCGTCCGCACAGAGTACAGCGATGATGTGAGATGGGCAGAATTCAAGTTACTCGTGGACGAATTTGATGCCATGATTATCTATTTCGAAGGAAGTCAGTATGCAGACCTGGGCTTGGAAGACTTATTTCAACGCTTGCGGTCCCGTCCCTTATTCCTCGCCCTTGCGGACTCCCGCACTACGCGAGACGAGACATTTGTTTCGCTGCGCGTGATTTCGATTCCAATGCAAAGGACTCCTTAGATCCCTTTCGCAGCTTTTGCATCATTACTCACGAGCTCTGGGCACCAGTCAACAACCTTGGGACTGCCAACTCGGATTTTGAGACCTTTGAGCTTGATTGCGTAGACGGTATACAATACGGGCTTCCACCACCGACGGCAAAGTAGCTTCCCGGAGAGTGTGACTACATCCTTTGTTCGTGTCTTAATGTGTTACACATGCTATAAAGACACCCACCTTCTACACTTACTTGCTAAAACGGCTTTTCTGGCTTCCTCTAAGTTCTTGTCGAAGAATATTCCGTTTGACAGCTGGAAAGAAAAGAAGTATGCGATGTATGGCAGACGATTGTGGATTGGCAAGCGAATATTACTCTGCCCCGCTTGCGCTCAAGCTACGCCTGGTTGTCTTGCACTTGCTTGTAAAGCAATGACACGGCGTCAAGCAATGTGTAGATATTAAGGCAAGCGAAGCGAATCCTGATCATATTGACGAAAGAAGCATACAGCATGTCTGCTCACGGTACCGACTTGGGGGTTCACTAGACGCTCGGAGCATGTGCCTACTGAGTTATTGCGTGACGCCGTATTAGACCGCGACACTTCTTCACTGATCAGTTCTTTTTGCCGAAGGGCCAGTTTACGAGCCGGCAGCATGCTGCGACATAACAGCCTTGGCCGCACAGTCTGGCAGTCTACACTACGCATCCCTCACATTCACTATGCGCATCGCGTTGCTGCCCGCAAGTCAGGTGAGGGAGACAGCAACGTCGAGTCAAACGATCTATACGAACGTTACCTTACCTCTGTGACGTCGCCTACGCCTCCTATGCTCTCCAAACTCTCTCAGTTCACGGAGCAAAAGAGCAGGCGAAGCCATCAAATGGTGCACCCGTCTCAAGGTCGTCTGCTCTATCACCTTGTCCGTCTACAACAACCGCGCCGAATCTTGGAGATTGGCTGTTATACTGGATATTCAGCGATCTGGATGGCACTTGGACTGGGAGAGCAAGCTCTTTTAAAAGGCGAGCCACGGATATGGACTTGCGAAGTGGATGCAGATGCTGCTAGCATCGCCCAGGGAGCCTTCAAAGAGAATGGAATACAAGACTTGATTGTCTTGAAACACGGCCCGGCAATTGAAAGGTAAGGCCGGGAATGTGACTTGTCGACACACTCACTTTTTGCAAAGCCTGCGTCAATTTCCGGTGGGCATGTCTGGTATACAGTTCGACTTTGTTTTTCTTGGTAAGTCCCCTCACGTTTGAATGAGCATGCCATTGACGCAACGTAGATGCTGACAAGTCCAACTACATCACATACTACTACACCATCATGAATCGAAACCTCCTTAGTCAACATGGAGTGATTATCGCAGATAACGGTAAGCAGGGTTGGCGGCAATTCACCACCCACAACCCACATTAAGGGCACCGTGTAGTTCTCTTTCGCGATGAAGTCTATCTAGACGAGCCCCCAGGAGCGACATCCAGGCATATGCGCGCGTTTAATGAACATGTCGCCAATGATCCACGCGTGGAGCAAGTCGTGTTGCCCCTATTCGATGGCATATCAATCATTCAACGAAAGCAGAAGCTGCGATGCCCTCTATGACAATGCTTACGACGCAGAGCCGTAGACAAAACCTCTTCTTCATTATCAAATAATACAGTCATCTATCACATTTCCACACGGCCTATTGTACATGATGACAAGTCTCTTTGGTATGCTGAATAAAAGTCTATCCTGCAAAGTACCTGTCTTGCGTTCCTCAATCAAGATCCTCTGGGAAGGTCCCCGGTAGTGTTTCCTCTCGCGGTTGACTTGCAGAGTTCGCGGTTGTACTCGTTCCGCTACTGCCTTGGTTTTGAGCTGAATTTGCGGCATTAAAAGGAGAGGTGCTGGCATTAGCACTATTTGAGCCGTCCTTGTCGTCGTGACCTGCCTTTTGCACTAAAGAATATCGGCTACCGAGAGATATTTAGCACCAGACTCGATAAGCGCTTTAAGAATATTTACCAGACAGGACAGGTACCATTCACCTTCAGCCAAGGTTTTATGCACTCCTCGTGAAATTCGTGGTGACACGGCAATTGCGTTGTTTTGTCATCCAGCAAGAACTCATCTTTGCAAATCGCACATTCTGGGGACCGATCTAAGCTTCGCAGTCAGCCGTCTTGTAGAACATGCACGATTTGGCACTCACCTAGATCCGCTTGTGTTATTGTCCGACCAGGTAAATGCTCGATGGTTTCCTCAGATGCCGGTGGTGGTGCGTTTTCCCTGTTTGTCAAGAGTTGAGGAATTACGAAATCAACAATGCCCCCCCCCGCGGTGGCTACATACTGGTTATATTGCTCCATCATACGTGAGACTATATTGTCGAGAGCAGCCTGACTACCAACATAATCACCAAGGTTCATATTCGGGTGTGGCGCTAGACCGAGCAGCTGGAAGAATGCCTCTAGTGGATGCCGTCCCTGCTGCTCGCCACTGGAGGTGTTATCAGAGCCAACATGTTCGGCTTCGTCCACGTTGTTCGATGCTCCGCCACTGTTGGAACAAACATAAATGTTAACGTAACCCTTGAAGTGACATGTTGATGCATATATTCACCTGCTATCCCCAGTATTCCCCCATGTTCGACGAAAGACATAAGGTC